AGGAGGGCACTTGTTGGGATGAGTACTGGGTGTTATATGTAAGTAATAAATCACTAAATTCCACTTCTGACATCATTATTACATTATATGTTAACTAACTTGGATTTAAACTTTTAAAAAAATTAAAAATTAAGAATTAAAAAAAATACATATCAGCTGAATGAATGAGCCAAGCGCTTTGCTTGGATGTCTCACCCACGGAATTTAATAAGTACCTGCTGAAGAAATCAGCAACTGACCCAAACTCCTGATGCCCCCTGACGACGCATAGTAGCCCCCAAGGCAACCACTTCCCACCTCTTCCCCCCGCAGCCCGAGCTCTGCTAAAACCCACCGTGTATCCATCCATCCCTAATTTAACCCGATTCCCCCGGGGCTGCGGCAGAGGCACACAAGTCCCGGCGGGGATAGCCCTTATCCTGCTGCGTCTCTGCAGCTCAAGCCCCTAACTTACCATAATTTAGGGACGTGTTGAGGCCACGGAGAAGACCGGACCAGGACATCCCACCGCCTGCAGGGTCCCTGTGTGAGGGGATATGAGCATCAGGAAGGAAAAAGGAAAAAGTGGCCGTAGCCGGACAAGGGCCCAAATTCTCCCCACCACGTCCTCAGAGCCTTCTGATTAAATCCAAGGAATTTCCTCGACGGTCTAACTGCAACCCCACACGTTGCTGACAGAAATTCCCTCGGTAAATTTAGTTTCGCTCTGAGTGGGCACCCAACAAACTCTCCCGCCCCCCGCACACAGAAGCAGAAGGGAAACTGAGGAGAGGGCCCGGGAGACTGGTAGAATCCAATGATTTCCATCAACTTCACCGACCCTTGCAGGGTCCGCAGGCACGCTGAATCTGCCTCTTGCCCCTTCCGGAGGTCACCCCGGCAGGGATTGGCTGGTTCTGCCTCCCGTGCACGCTGAAGGGGCGGGGCACAGATGACGATTGGTCAACGACAGAGTCAATCACAGTCGATGTTTCTCATCGCACTGTATTTGAGGCTCGAGAGGCGCTCACCCCATCCAGCGTCTGATTGGCAGGACGGCTGCTTTGCAATTGGTCTAAACGCGGAGGGGGCGGGACGAAGGGTGCGTGACTCCTTGTCCCCTGTCCAAGATGGCGGCGTCCATGGCGCGGCGCTTGTGGCCTTTGGTGGCTGGTCGGGGTCTTCGTTCCCGGAGAGGCTGCATCGGCAGCCATAGCCCAAGAAGAACTTTTGCCACGGAGAGACGAGACCGGAACCTCCTGTACGAGCACGCGCGCGAGGGCTACAGCGCGCTCCCTCATCTGGACATGGAACCTCTGTGCGCATGCCCGGAAGAGGCCGCGCGCGCCCTGCAGCTCCGCAAGGGGGAGCTGCGGCCCGAAGACCTGCCCGCGATCGTGAGTGCGCTTGCGCCGGCCGTCAGCTGCGGGGCGGAACGGGGCTTGCGAGATACTGTCCAGCAGGAGGCGAAACTACTGCAGGAATTTCCGTTTCTTCCCAAGTTTAGCCAGTATGTTGTGCTTGGCACCCATAGATGTGCCAGTTATCCACGGAGTGCTAGGGCCCTACTGTGTACCCACCCACCATGCGCCTGTTCCGTAAAGCGTACTGAGTACCTACTTTGCGCTTAGGAACTTAACTACGTGCCGATGTTCTCTGTGCTCCAGCCTCCTGCCAGGCTTCCTGAAGACCACAAAAGAAAATAGGGGAGGGGGAAGAAATTGAGGGACAGGGATGTGAATTAGACGAGGGTGGAGAGGGGGTTGCCTCTGGAGAGTAAGAACCCTGCACCTGCCCCACAGGTAGCAAGCATTTAAATAATTATTTAATTAATGGTTCTGCCGAACAGCTGCTTAGGGAGCATCTACTATGTCCCAGGCTTTGATAATGAGGTGGTGAATAATATAATACTACGTGCCAGGGAACAAGAAGCAGAGTCACCATTATTACTAGACCTTGGGAGCAACCCAAGTGCCCACTGACGGATGAATAGATAAAATGGCCTACGGTACACACAGTGGGATATGATTCAGCCTTCCAAAGGGAAGAAAATTCTGACACATGCTAGAACATGAATGAACCTTGAGGACATGACGCTAAGTGAACTAAGGCGGTCACAAAAAGACAAAAGCCGGATAATTCCATTCACGCAAGGTACCTAGAGTGGTCCAATGCACAGAGACAGGAAATAGAGTGACGGTTGCCAGGGGCTGGGGAGAGGGGAACAGGGAGATAGTGTTTAATGGGTATAGCATTTCAGTTTGTGAAGATAAAGTTCTGGAGATGGATGGTGGGGATGGCTGCACAACAGTGTGAATATACTTAGTGCCGTTGAACTGTACTCTTAAAAATGGTTGAAATGCTACACTTTATGTATTTTTAAAAATTTTTTATGTTTATTTAGTTTTGGGAGAGAGACAGAGCATGAGCAGGGGAGGGGCAGAGAGAGCGGGAGACACAGAATCGGAAGCAGGCTCCAGGCTCTGAGTTGTCAGCACAGAGTTCGTGGGGCTTGAACTCACTAACTGCAAGATCATGTCCTGAGCTGAAGTGGGACGCTCAACCGACTGAGCCACCCCGGCGCCCAACTTTATGTATTTTTTTAAACGTTTATTTATTTATTTTGAGAGAGAGAGTGAGCAGGAGAGAGGCGGAATCCCAAGCAGCCTCCGCCCTGTTAGCACAGAGCCCAATGTAGAGCTTGAACCCACAAACTATAAGATCATGACCTGAGCTGAAACCAAGAGTCGGGCACTTAACCGACTGATTCACCCAGGCGTCCCATAAAATGCTGAACTTTATATTTTACCACAGTTTCTTAAAGTGCTGGTTTAGCAGTCTTGAATTATTTATAACCCGCTAATGGATCACATCCCAAAGCTCTAAAAACACTTCTTTAGGGCATGAAATGTGAAGAGGAAAATGGCATGTGGCTTTATGGGCAATAACAAGGCACGTGAATTGTTCCTAGGGGCACTGGGGGGCTATGGGTGCCTCCAGGCAGGAGAGGGATTGTGTAAGAGCTCAGGCTGGATTGGAGGAGGTGAGCCTGAAGGCTGGGAGGATAGCACAGCGGTCCTCGTGGCTGATGACAGGATCTGGAGCAGAGAGGGGCAGGAGTCAGGGGATGGGAGGAGGACAGACGCGATGGACGTTCAGGAGGCAGAAACGTCGGGACACGGAACCTGGCCACAGGGCTGGGGTGGCATCCGGCAGGAGGCTCAGGGTCCTGCGGCCGGGGATGGGAGTTTGTGGGGCTGTCCCTGGAGGAGGAGCAGATTCAGGAGGGGGATGTTTTTCCTAGAGTTACTCTTGCGCATGGTGAGTGTCCAGGGGACATCCGGGGGAGCCACCCAGTGGGCAGCAAACCACCTTATGGCCTGCTCCCCCTCCCAGTTGCCAGCCCCGGGGAGGTAGGACAGTGCTGTTTGCACCATTTTGTCAGAGGGAAAACTGCAGCCAGAGAGGACAGAGGGGTTTGCCCAGGGCTGCGGGCTCACAGAGGCGCCTCAAGGCAGTAGGTGTGCCCGCGAACCAGAGCTGAGCCTGCTTTGTTGGAGGGGACGGGTTGAGCGCAGCAGCCCCATAGGACAGAGGCTGCCTCTCTCTTCTCTGAGACTTAGAGGTGAGTGCTGGCGGGGCCTCAGCTCTGTGCCCCTGAGTGCCTGGGTCCTTTCACCCTCCTGCTCCGCGTCCCTTAGGATGCTGTCCGGTTTGGCTGTGCTTCAGAGCCTGTCATCCAGTCCAAGGGGAGTGAGAGAAAGCTCAGCATGGGGACTTGTCTTCAAGGAGGTGACCCAAGAGTCACACTTTCCCCTTCCACTCACGTCCATTGGTTGATCTTGGACACGTGAGCACAAGCAGCTGCAAAGGAGGCTGGGAAATGTGTCTTACGTCTGGGCAGCCGTGTGCTTTACATCAGGAAGCCTAGTACAGAAGGGAACGAGGAGAGCCTGGCTGCTGGGCTCCAGGTGGCCAGCAGGGGGAGGCTCCAGCGAGAAGGGGCAGGAGACAGTGGCGCCTTCACCCCTTTCCCTCCTGTGTCCTCCCCCAGATCTCAGCATGGCAGGAGCTGAGGCAGCTGCGGGAGCAGATCCGGAGTCTGGAGGAAGAGAAGGGGGCTGTGGCTGAGGCAGTACGGGCCCTGATGGTGAGCGGCAGGGGAAGGGAGGGGGTCCTAGGTGGGTGAGGCTTCACTATGTTGATTTGACCTCAGTTTCCCCTCTCACAGCCCAAGATGGCCGCGTAGTACCGTGTCTCTTCACATGACTGCCAGAGGCAGAAAACAGGACTTCTGTGGCTTGAGTAGTCTTGGGCTAGACAGCCAAGAGCATCTGCCTCAGGGCGCTGAAAAGAGTAATCATAAAAATAATAGCAGCTGTTTATATAGCAATCACTGTGTGCCAGGCACTGTTCTAGATGCTTTCCTCCTCTGAACCCTCCCAACTCTGTGAGACAGGAACAATACAAACCCAGTTTACAACCAGGCTCCCAAGAGGTTAGCATGTGCCTGAGCGTCGCAGCCGGAAAGTGGGCGAGGCAGGATTCGCACCCAGGCCCTCGGGCTGCTTTTCGCCAGTCCGCTAGAAGGCCGACTGCAAAACTAGTTACACCTCCCAGTGACCCTCCTACGTAAGTGCCAGGCCCCAGACTACGTGCATCACGGGCAGGCAGCCAGTGACCACAACAAAATTGGTCACAGTTCACGTTCCATGAGTGCCAACTCATCTGCTCGGGGAAGCCATTCAACAGCCCTGCTGGGGAGGTCCTGTTATCCCCTTTCACAGGTGGGAATACCGAGGCTCGGAGCAGACGAGAGATTTGCCCAAGGGACACGGAGCGGGTAGGCACCCGACATTCAGACCCGGGTCTGCCTGATACCGCCTGCCGCTCTGGCTCGAGGAAGGTTCAGGTTCACCAGCTTTACCGCTCCTAGCCTCGATTTTCTTATCTACGCAATGGGAAGCACGCCGATGCCAACTTCACGGAGCAGGTTGTGAAGAAATAGGACCGCGTGAGAGCCGTGTGACAGCAGGGACGGGCTCAATGAACAGAGCTGCGGGTGTGGCTACTCTTCCATTATCTTGCCTCCTCCCAGCTTTACTGAGAAACTGAGGCACCGAGGGGAGGAAGGTCTGTCCAGCCAGGCACCCACAGAGCAAGGAATTCACCCCACCCCACCCGGCCCTGTTTGACCTTTCACCCCTCCTTTCTTCCCTCCTCCCCGGCCCCAGCTTTACGAACTTGATCACCCCCTCCGTCTCTCTTCTACCAGGTCAACCGGGACAACACTCAAGTGCAGCAGGTACTCCCGAGGGCCGGTGTCCTGCCCCTGGGGGGAGTGGGCAGGTGCCACGGGGGTCGTGATTCCTACCTTGTGACCGAAGACAACAAACAGGATTAGTGATCCAAGTGAATCTGTTGGTTCCTGACACCTAAGAGGCTGGCTTATATCTGGTTCTAGTTCCCCCTTGTTCCCAGACCGGCTTTCTGCCCTTAGAGAAAGGGGAGGCGGGGTGGGGCCCGAAGGGGACCGCTTCCCTGATCGCTGCACCCCTGGTCCTGGGGCTCGGATCACGTGCCTGTCTTCGAGCCAATCGCTGTGGCCCAGGCAATAGAATGTTCTGGTAGGCCAGGCCTGAGTCACGGCCCCCTGGACTTGCCGTGTGGTGGTGAGGTGAGGTGAGGGAATTTCCCAAACAGAAATTCAGGATGTTGGGCTGAAGAGAGAGTGGGTGCCGACCACAGGGGTTGTGCCGGCAAGGCCCAAGGTCAGACTGGTTGAGGGACCCCCCCGCCCTCTCCTGGACTGACCCGGCTTGTCCCCCTGCCCAGGACCCCCAGTATCAGAGTCTGCGGGCCCACGGCCGAGAGATCCGCAAGCAGCTCATGGTCCTGTACCCCAAGGAGACTCAGCTTGAAGAGGAGTTCTACCTGCGGGCGCTGAGGCTGCCCAACCAGACCCACCCGGATGTGGTGAGCGCGGTGCCGGGTGGCGGTGGAGCCCAGGGGCCCGCCCGGGACCACCCTCCCCGTGACTCCCGTTGTGTCCCTGCAGCCCGTCGGGGACGAGAGCCAGGCCCGGGTGCTCCACGTGGTCGGAGACAAGCCAGGTGGGCCGGCCCCCAGGCCCGGAGCCGAGGCTGGGTGGTGTCCCTGGGGTGTGGGACGTGGCCGGTGCTCCCCTCCTTCTGCCTCCTGCCCTGTGTGTATATGGCAGTCTGTCCCTGGCTCGCTTTGGCTGTTTCCCTTGGGTTTTCCTCCCTGACTCCGGTGTCTCTCTCTCTCTCTCTCTCTTTGGCTCTGACTCTCTGTACCCACCCACCTCTTTCTCACCTCCTCCTAACGTTCTCTTCCCTTTCCCTTCTCTCTCCTTTTCCACCTCGGCTCCGCGTCTCTCGCCATCTCTCCCTTTGCCAGTCCCGCCTCTGCCGCCCTCTCCTCTCTCTCTCTCTCTCTCTCCCTCCTCTCTCCCTTTCCCTCTGTCTCCCTCGCTCCCTCTTACTGCCTCTCCCTCCTGCTGGCTCTCTCATCCTGTCTGTGTCCCCGTTCTGTGTCTCTCTCCCGACTCCTTATTCCACCGCTTCTCATCCGGATCCAGCATTCTCCTTCCAACCCCGGGGCCACCTGGAAATCGCGGAGAAACTTGACATCATCCGGCAGAAGTGAGCTCCGCCCGCTCGCGCCCCCTCCGCCCTCCCCGCCCCAGCAGCTGGCTCAGCACCAGGTGTGGAGCCGCCCGGGCCTCACCCCGCATGAATGTTTGATGCCCGGTCCCCCGCCTGGCACCTGGCCTCGGCCTCAGGGTGCTCGGGTCCCCCTCTTCCCCCACCAGCCCCGGCCCACACACACCCGCCTGTCCGCCCGTCTGTCTCCCAGGCGCCTGTCCCACGTGTCCGGCCACCGCTCCTATTATCTCCGTGGGGCCGGGGCCCTCCTGCAGCACGGCCTGGTCAACTTCACCCTCAACAAGCTCATCCAGCGGGTATGGGTCGGGATGGGAGGGCTGCCTGGAGGGGGTGACATCGACAGTGACTCAGAGGGCTCAAGACGGGGAGGAGGGCGTTCCCTGTGCTCCAGCCATTATTTCAGAGCTTTACGTGTATTACCGACACATTTAATTCTTATAGCAACATTATGAGGTAGATGCTCTTATTCCCACTTCAGGGATGGAGAAATTAAGGCCGGAGAGGGCGTCACTAGCCCAAGATCTCACGGCTGCTGCTTGGAGCCGGCCCTAGGGCCTGTGCCTGGGACCTCACCACCTGCCGTAGTGTAAAGGAGGTGTTGCTCGAATGGGAGGGGTTGGGGGGGGCTCAAGGCATGGGCTGTTGACCGTGGCCTCAGGCCATTTCCTGAGGGCACTGGGGAGCCACAGAAAGCTCTAACTACACCTCCCGCTACCCTGTGTGGGATGCAGTGAGAGGAAACCGCAAAGCACCGACAGAGAGGGCCCCGGCGGCAGGGACACCAGGGTCCCGAAGCCAGCTCCAAGCCTACTGGCTCCAAGCCAGTTGAAGCTCCTTCAATCTCCTCTGAGGCGGAATGGGTTTTGAAGGACAAGCGGGAGTCACTGGCCCACTCTGCAGTGTCCCTGGTCTGGTGGGGGTCCTGGCCGTGCCCTCACCCCGCCCCCTTCCCGTTTACAGGGCTTCACTCCCATGACAGTGCCAGACCTTCTCCGGGGAGCTGTGTTTGTGAGTGCCCCCCGCACCCAGCTGCGTGCCAGGCCCTGTTCCGGGGACCCCAGGCGTGAAGAACAGCCTGTCTCCCCTGCAGAGACGGCCCTGGGACTGGGTTGAGGGTGGGCAACTCCAGGTGCTTCCTGGGGAGGCGCGGGGCTTGTTCCTGCAAAAGGAGGCTGAGGTTATCTGTCCCCTGACCTGTGTGGCTTGGCCTCCTCCCCAGGAAGGCTGTGGGATGACACCAAATGCCAACCCATCCCAAATTTACAATATTGACCCATCCCGCTTCGAAGACCTAAGCCTGGCTGGGACAGCAGAGGTGGGGCTCGCTGGTAAGCACCTGCCTGGGGGCAGCAGCAGGGATGAGGATACCTCCAGTGTCCTCAGAGCAGGAGGGATTGTAGGGGGATAACCAGGAGCATCCTGGGGGTGACAGCTGCCTGCCTAGGATGTCTCAGTGACCCCCAGGGCCAGCCTGTACAGTTGTGTAGGTTGTTTACTGCACAACAGTACAGTGAGGATCCAGCCCCATGCCCTGACGGGAGGTCGTGTCTACCAGAGAGGACACCTTTTCTTTTTTTTTTTTTT